CTTTTGGACCATGTTTTTCTCATGATATATGCCCAGGAATGATATTGCAAGATCATATGGTAGCTCTATTTTTAGTTTTGCAAGGCTCTCACGATAAAGTTGAATTAGTAAGTTATAAGAGAGACAAGGGAACTTTGATCAGAAAAAGATCCCACTTCCAAGTTTTTTAGAATTCTGATATTTTGTCTTTTTCCAATTCTGATATTTGCTAGAGCTAGCATTGTTATATGCTCCAAATTAGCTGTTTAGTTAGACCAACATAATTCAGCCAAGCCACTAGAGAAGAAAATACAGTTGAGGTTGTTAGTGTATGTAAATATTATTTTCATGTCTTATTGTACTTGAATCTTCCTTCTGAACTGTAAATGTATATAAATATTTAGAATTATAAAATGTTCCAGTTTCCCTTCATTCTTAATATAATAGGTTTGCTATAACATTGGCTTTGAAGCCAGACAAACAGTTCATTGTCTATTTACTTATTAGCTATTTGATGGTAGACAAGGTATATAACTTACTAATGGATATTTGTTTCACCATCTCTAAAATGGGAATATAATATAATCTTTATAGGACTGTTAGGAAGAAATACTGAGGTAGTGTGTATAAAATGTCTTGTGTTGCCTGGCACATTAACTGTTAAATGACATTAGCTCTTTAGTCCTAGGCGTTCATGTATGGCTATGAATTTGAGTATTAGTCCTAGGCGTTCATGTATGGCTATGAATTTGAGTATAACAGAAGAGCAGGTTAAGTAATGGGAAATCAATTGGTTGACTGTCATTTTCTTTCATTTCAGAGCCTATTCAAACTATAGGATTTTAATGAATGATATGATCAAAATGAAACATAGGGGGATACACTGTTAAAGGGAGAGTGGCTGCTTAGATTTTTCTTGTAGACAGGTTATTGTAATAGAGTTTTATATTTAAAATAGATCTTAAAAGTAGTAAAATTTCTTGCCATCGTTTTATAGATAAGCAAACTGAGAACCAGAGTGATTCAGTTCAGTTCAGTCTCTCAGTCATGTCCAACTCTTTTCGACCCCATGGACTGTAGCACACCAGGCCTCCCTGTCCATCACCAACTCCTGGAGCTTGCGCAAAATCATGTCCATTGAATCGGTGATGCCATCCAACCATCCCATCCTCTGTTGTTCCCTTCTCCTCCTGCCTTCAGTCTTTCCCAGCATCAGGGTCTTTTCCAGTGAGTCAGTTCTTCCCATCAGGTGGCCAAAGTATTGAAGTTTCAGCTTCAGCATTAGTTCTTCCAATGAATATTCAGGACCATTTTCCTTTAGGGTGATTTTCCTTTAGGATTGACTGGTTTGATATCCTTTCAGAGTGATTATATGTTGATAAATTTCAGAGCTGATAGTAGACCATGAGTGTCCTTCAGAATGCTCTTTCTCCCTTGGTAATTTGTATGAAATAGAAAGTTAACAGTGGCAAAAATGAAGAAATAGCAGAATATGATGAAAACCTGGTAAAGAGTGAATTATTTATTATTACCCAAGCTACACACTTAGAAAACTACAAAGTTTGATAACTGTTGTTTGGTAATGTTTTACTTGCACTGTAATCTTCATCTGAAATTGTATTTCTTCTTCATGACATGAGACTTTCTTCCCACTTTGGAGTAATTCTCCCTTGAAACTTTGAAGACACTGCATAGCTAAGTAAAGCTATTCATCCCTTAGGCAAGTTCGACCTTCTGGGTTCCTAAAGTGCATGTTACTTATCCCTAACTGGATTATAAGCTCCTCTTTGGGGAAGGCCACATTGCTAATCATAATAAATCCTTCTGTTTATGTAGCATATTTTACCTTTCATATACTTTTTTAGTTTTTATTTTATCCCTTATACTTTTAGAATATTTATTTATAGAAAATGTTTATAGAAACATTTATAGAAGATATTATTTTAAACTGACATGTTCATGCTTAGCATTTTGCCTCATGTTGAGCTTCTTTGCTATGAAATCCTAGAACTAAGTTGTCTATACTGTTTCTTTCTTTTCCAGAATACAAAAATTCATAGGTCTTTTCATTTGTTTTTTAATTTATGTTGTATTTTTGGTCATGCCATGTAACTTGTGAAATCTCAGTTTCCCAACAAGGAAGTGAATTCAGGCCATGGCAGTGAAAGCCCAGAATTTAAACTTCTAGGCCACAGGGAACTCCCAGATAGGTCTTTTTAGAGATTTGAGATACTCTAGAAATTATCTAGATTTAGAATGATCTAGAAAAGTTAAAATTATGTTCCTGGGAGCTCAGGGCTCTTGCAGAATCATTTCAGATGCAACACAAACTATTTTTCTGTGTGTGTTTTGTTTTGATTTTGTTTTGATATTCAGGGTAAGATGTCATTTGAAATTGGCAGTTTAAAAAAAAAGTTTTGAAAATTACTGATGGAATCCAGCCTCCTCATTTTACAGATTAGTAAGGATATTTTGTGCCCTAGAGGTTAAATAACTAGCCCAAAGTATAAACTAGGATCTGAAGTGTACTATCAGTTCTGAGTTCTTTCTGTTCTTATCAGGTTACCCTTTTTATATTTTCTTAGAAAATTTGGTCTTTACTAATGTTTATTAGAAACACAATGGCTATCTAATTTCACTTTTTTTCTGAATTCCCTCAGCCTTCCTCTAGTAAAAAGTTTAATCCTCCCATGAGAGATTGAAATAAAAAGCAAGAATCCTTATATATAACCTTTTCCCATTCACATTTCCTTTTGATTAACTTTGCTCGTGTAATGGGGAACCATCTTTATCAAGAAAGATAAAGATTTTTTATCCTTAAAGATTTTTTCTTTAGAAACAGGATGAATTGAAGCTTGGAAAAATTTTAACAGAAACCAGTTCTGTTAAGAGCAGACTACTAAAGAATGTTCACTGATCAATGGAAAAGGAAGAAGAGATCGTTGATGGAATGGGAGCCAGTAGAAATGTCGTAGGATTAGTGGATTAGAAGTAACAGTGAGTGGATGTTGAGGGGCTAGAAAGACTGAGCTGCTAGAATGTTTGGAGGTGATGGTGTCAGAGAGAGGGATGCAAAGAGCTGAGGCTGTGGAAAGATTGTAGATACTGGTGGGAGTGAGAGGCTGAGATGTAGGAATGAGGACAAGATTAGTAGAGAACTTCTCAAGGAATTCCTGTTTATTGTTTTGCATTATCAGAAATTACCAATACATACTATTAAACTATCCACACTCCTGTCCTCATTCTTCCAAATAATTAGATTAAATCAGTAACTTAGGGTTTATATTATTATGAAAGTGAAAGTGTTAGTCACAGTGTGAAAAGTATAACAACTTTTAAATATTACTAATTCCATCCCCAGCGTCAGGACTACTTTGATTTGCTTGATTCAAAACAAGTTTTCCTCCCTGATATTGTTGGAGAATACAGAAAGTAGACTTCTCCATTTCTAGTCTAAAATAATGTAGTCTAAATTACCAACCTCTGGTTCAGTTATGCAGTTTATAGTTCCAAAGATAACTATTTTCAAAATACTTAAGATTCTAACTTGAATAGAATATTATAGCATTAATACTCAGCACTTCTAAATGCCATTGTTGATCTTGAAATAATTATACTTCCCCTTTGATGACAAATATTCTCTCCATTAGTAATATCAGAAAGCAGCAGTGAGGTAGGAGGTCCTCAGCTTGTGTGTTCACTGCCAAGGTGTCTTTTCCTCGTCATTCTTCCTGATCGTCTGTGAGGCCTTCGAGCGCTTTGTGCCTTGACTAATTTTTTTCATGTGTTTTTTTTTTTGTAGGTATTTTCTGTGTTCATTTCCATCACCTAGTTTTATTATTCAAAGTCAAATAATTTTTATTATGCATACTAGGAGTCTAGATAACAAGATGCATAAGTTCACAAATTGAAAGTTTTTATATGAAAGAAATAATGTATTACTTTGTTGAGCCTGAAGGAAAAAACATTTGTCTCTTTCTATGGATAATCCACAAAATTCTGAAAAACAGAATGGAGAAGTCATGCTTTATAATTTAAATGTATGTAGATTATGTGTATGTAGAGGTCTTTTTATGGCTTCACCTCCAAATTATACACTGTGTTCTACAAGTATATTTAATAATTGATTGTTAAAACCTTAAATATCTTTTTCCACATAAGCATTATTTTTAATGACTGTAGAGTTTTCCCTCATGTAGATATGGTATAATATACTTGTCCCTGGTTTTGTGCGGCTTTTTTGTTGTGCTTTGTCTAATATTGTAATAAATGAGCATCATTCTGTAAGAAACTTAGTTTTCTGTTTGCTGCTGACCTATGCAGACGCCTATAATCACTGGTCCTGTTACTCAGTATTATTCTTTAGAACATTAAATGACCTAACGTTCTTAACAGTGTTTGGTACAGTGTGTGGAACACTGAAAGTAGAGAATAAATGCTGTTTACAGACGTTTTTCTGATTTAACATCGAGATAAGTAAGGTTTGGATTCCCCTGGTAGTCCAGTGGTTAAGACTCCACACTCCCAACGCAGGGGCCACAGGTCCAGTCCCTGGCCGGGGAAGATCCTACATGTCACATAGCCAAATAAATAAAGAAGAAAGAAAAAGGTTTGAAATGGGTTCTTTGAGGTGAACACTGAGGTTGTCAATACAGTAGCACAACAAATGATGCCAGTTGGAAGAGGAAAATCCAAAAGATATTGAAGCTGTGAGATGGGGAACAGTTTCTGTGGTCATTCATCTGTATTGTTAGTTCCCAGTTATGTATTCTTTATCTAAAAGGAATGCCTTAAATGAGGAGTATCAGAATATAAATTTCTTCCTTTTAGTAAAATATATGTTTGTTAAAGTAATACATAATAGAGAAACATTATAAAAGCACTGTTTAAAATAGTGTGACCATTGTGTATGTTATCTTTGTTTATTGTATTTGTATTTTGTATTTTTTGTAATATTTTATTCACATGTGTGTCCAATGATGTCTTCCCTGTTTTCTTTATTTTTTATTTAATTATTCTAGTCACGTGAACTGGAAATTTCAGTTTATTGGCGTGATTGGCGATCTCTGTGTGCTGTAAAATTTCTGAGGTTAGAAGATTTTTTAGACAACCAACGGCATGGCATGTGTCTCTATTTGGAACCACAGGGTACTTTATTTGCAGAGGTAATAAATGTATTTATTTTAAATATGCATAACTGCAATTGAAATTATATATGTAAGCAACATGATGTAGAAGTGGGAAGAGTATTTAGGCTGAATGACAGATAACTTGAATTCTTGGCTCAACTCTGCCACTAAATAGTATATTACCCTATGACAAATCACTTTTCTTTTCTAGGTCTGTTATCTCATCTAGAAAATGAGGGGATGGAACTAAATTATATCTCAGATTCTCTTAAGTTTTTAAAACTTAGACGTTTACTGAATTTCATGAACCAAGAATCTAATGCTGTATTCATGTCAACTTAAGTTTTCTTCACTGCAGGTTACCTTTTTTAATCCAGTTATTGAAAGAAGACCAAAACTCCAAAGACAAAAGAAAATTTTTTCCAAACAGCAAGGTAATTACTAAGAAATCAGGTACAAAGTGTTTTGGTGTTATCTTAAATATTTTAAAATGTACATACTATTTAAAAAGTGATACCCATCTTTGCTTTTTGCTTATTTGTTCAATTATTTACTTAATTTTATTAGGAAAAATTTTAAACATACACATATGCATAGAGACTAGTGCAATGTAACATCACTCAGCTTCAACAACAGTCAACTCATGTCCAATTTTGTTTCATCCATGTTCCATCACTCAAAACTTCCTCAGCTTATTTGGAGTGAACCCAGACATCATATTGATTCATCCATAAATATTACAGTTAGTATCTCTAAAAGATAAGAATTCCTTTTTTTTTTTCAACCTTAACTGCCTATCGTTACTAAACTTAAATGAGCAATTCCTACTTATTTATTTTTTAAACTGATTTTGCTTTTTTGCACTAGCCTTTAATAACAAATAGTTAAGAACTGTTTTTTTAAATGACAGATACTGTTTGTTCTTCATAAATTATAAACCAATGAATATGAATTTTTCAGTTATGGCTTTTGGTAATATATTCAAAAATTACTTGTTCGGTTTTCTTTATTTACAATATCCACAGGCAAAACCTTTCTCAGAGCTCCTCAAATGAATATTAATATCGCCACTTGGGGAAGACTTGTGAGAAGAGCTATTCCTACAGTAAATCATTCTGGCACCTTTAGCCCTCAAGCCCCTGTTCCTGCTACAGTGCCAGTGGTTGATGTACGCATCCCTGAATTAGCACCTCCAGCTAGGTATGTGTTTTAACATTTTTAAGCTTTTATAAAATAATTATTGTGACACTCATACATATTGATTACAGTGAATCTGTTAGAAGTCTCATTTTTTCCAAATAGTATTTTGAAGTTAGTGCTGTACTTACTTTTAAAAACAATAAAATTATTTGCTTTAATTTTAAAGCTATTTAAAATATATACTTTTGATTACTGCTTTTGGTGAATTGCTTTATCTTTTATAAGTGATTCCACAGTAACCAAGTTGGACTTTGATCTTGAACCTGAGCCTCCTCCAGCCCCACCACGTGATTCTTCCCTTGGAGAAATAGATGAATCTGTAAGAGATTTGGATACACCAGGACAGGTAAGGCATTTTAAACCTTGTATAATTCCTTTTCACCAAATAAATTACCACTTATAGCATCATGGTAATTTACCAGCTGTAGCATCATTGGGCTTCCCTTGTGGCTCAGATGGAAAAGAGTCTGCCTGCAATGTGGGAGACTGGGATTGGATCCCTGGGTAAGGAAGATCCCCTGGAGGACATAACAACACATTGCAGTATTCTTCCCTGGAGAATCCTCACGGAAAGAGGAGCCTGGCGGACTACATGGGGTTACAAAAAGTCAGACCCAACTGAGCAATTAACACTATGGCATCATAGTGAATGAGATGCACTTTTAAGTTGTTTCTTGTGAGTGAAACATAAAAACCTCTGGATGCGCATGGCCAATAGAGATGGAATAGGTTGCTTATTCTAGGAGCCAGGGAGTATGGCTGATATTAAATGAAGTATTTCCTGACACTGTGCATCTTCTAACTATGTTAACATGATAACCTGAAAATGCATATAAAATGAAAGTAATGTATTCATTTTTTAATTGAAATATGATTGATTTACAACACTGTTTCAGGTATACAGCATAGTGATTCAGTATTTTTTTTCAGATTCTATTTCATTATAGCTTTTTACAAGATAATGGTTATAATTTCCTGTACCATACAATATATCCTATTATCTATTTTATTTATAGAAGTTTGTATCTAATAATCCTATACCCTTAGTTTGTCCCTCTCCTATTCCTTCTCCCCCTGGTAACCACAATTTTGTTTTCTAAATCTATAAGTCTCTTTCTGTTTTGTAAATACATTCATTTATATTATTTTTTAGATCCTACATATGTGATATATACCATTTCTTCCTCTGTCTGACTTACTTCACTAACGGTAATATTCTCTAGGTCCATCCATATTGCTGTAGAGGGCATTATTTCATTCTTTTTGTGGGCAGAGATTAATTTTCCATTGTATATCTATATGCCACATTTTAAAACAATTTTACTGAAGTATAGTTGATTTACAGTGTTGTGCTTACTTTCTTCTGTAGAGCAGAGTGACTCAGTTATACATACATTTTTTCCATTGCAGTTTATCACAGGATATTGAATATAATTTCTTACGCTATATAGTAGGACCTTGCTGTTTATCCATCCTGTATATAGTAGTTTGAGTCTGCTAATCCCACATTCCCAATCCTTTCCTCCCCCAAACCCCGTCACCCTTGACAACCACAGATCTTTCTCTATATTTCTGAGTGCTTTGTTTTATAGATATGTTCATTTGTGTTATATTTTAGATTCCACATATAAATGATATCATGTGGTATTTGTCTTTCTCTTTCTGATTTAATTCATTTTAGCATGATAATCTCTCGATCCATCCATGTTAGTGCAGATGGCATTATTTCATTCTTTTTTAATGGCTGAGTAATTCCATTGTGTGTCTGTATATATGTATATATATATATATATATATATATATGTTTATATATACACACACACGCACACACCAGATGTTCTTTATCCATTCATCTGTCAATGGACATTTAGGTTATTTCCATGCCTTGGCTATTGTAAATAGTGCTGCAAGAGCATAGGGGTGCGTGTATCTCTTTGAATTAGAAATTTGTCCCACACTGTAAAGGCAGTGCTAAGGGGAAGATTCATAGTATTACAGGCCTACCTCAAGAAACAAGAAAAAAGTCAAATAAATAACCTAACTCTACACCTAAAGCAACTAGAGGAGGAAGAAATGAAGAACCCCAGGGTTAGTAGAAGGAAAGAAATCTTAAAAATCAGGGCAGAAATAAATGCAAAAGAAACTAAAGAGATCATAGTAAAAATTAACAAAGCTAAAAGCTGGTTTTTTGAAAAAATAAACAAAATTGACAAACCATTAGCAAGACTCATTAAGAAACAAAGGGAGAAGAACCAAATTAACAAAATTATAAACGAAAATGGAGAGATCACAACAGACAACACTGAAATACAAAGGATCATTAGAGACTACTACCAGCAGCTCTATGCCAATAAAATGGACAACTTGGAAGAAATGGACAAGTTCTTAGAGAAATATAACTTTCCAAAACTGAACCAGGAAGAAATAGAAGATCTTAACAAACCCATCACAAGCAAGGAAATCGAAACTGTAATCAGAAACCTTCCAGCAAACAAAAGCCCAGGACCAGATGGCTTCACAGCTGAATTCTACCAAAAATTTAGAGAAGAGCTAACACCTATCTTACTCAAACTCTTCCAGAAAATTGCAGAAGAAGGTAAACTTCCTTAGGCCACCATGGCCTAAGGTGAGGCCACCATCACCCTAATTCCAAAACTAGACAAAGATGCCACAAAAAAAGAAAACTACAGGCCAATATCACTGATGAACATAGACGCAAAAATCCTTAACAAAATTCTAGCAAACAGAATCCAACAACATATTAAAAAAATCATACATCATGACCAAGTGGGCTTTATCCCAGGAATGCAAGGATTCTTTAGTATCTGCAAATCAATCAATGTAATACACCACATTAACAAATTGAAAGATAAAAACCATATGATTATCTCAATAGATGCAGAAAAAGCCTTTGACAAAATGCAACATCCATTTATGATTAAAACTCTCCAGAAAGCAGGAATAGAAGGAACATACCTCAACATAATAAAAGCTATATATGACAAACCCACAGCAAGCATCACCCTCAATGGTGAAAAACTGAAAGCATTTCCCCTGAAATCAGGAACAAGACAAGGGTGCCCACTCTCACCACTACTATTCAACATAGTTTTGGAAGTTTTGGCCACAGCAATCAGAGCAGAAAAAGAAGTAAAAGGAATCCAGATAGGAAAAGAAGAAGTGAAACTCTCGCTGTTTGCAGATGACATGATCCTCTACATAGAAAATCCTAAAGACTCTACCAGAAAATTACTAGAGATAATCAACGAATACAGTAAAGTTGCAGGATATAAAATTAACACACAGAAATCTCTTGCATTCCTATACACTAACAATGAGAAAACAGAAAGAGAAATTAAGGAAACAATACCATTCACCATTGCAACAAAAAGAATAAAATACTTAGGAGTATATCTACCTAAAGAAACAAAAGACCTATACATAGAAAACTATAAAACACTGATGAAAGAAATCAAAGAGGACACAAACAGATGGAGAAATATACCGTGTTCATGGATTGGAAGAATCAATATTGTCAAAATGGCTATACTACCCAAAGCAATCTACAGATTCAATGCAATCCCTATCAAACTACCAACGATATTTTTCACAGAACTAGAACGAATAATTTCACAATTTGTATGGAAATACAAAAAACCTCGAATAGCCAAAGTAATCCTGAGAAAGAAGAATGGAACTGGAGGAATCAATCTGCCTGACTTCAGACTATACTACAAAGCCACAGTCATCAAGACAGTATGGTACTGGCACAAAGACAGAAATATAGATCAATGGAACAGAATAGAAAGCCCAGAGATAAATCCGCGAACCTATGGTCACCTTATCTTTGACAAAGGAGGCAAGGATATACAATGGAAAAAAGACAACCTCTTTAACAAGTGGTGCTGGGAAAACTGGTCAACCACCTGTAAAAGAATGAAACTAGAACACTTTCTAACACCATACACAAAAATAAACTCAAGATGGATTAAAGATCTAAATGTAAGACCAGAAACTATAAAACTCCTAGAGGAGAACATAGGCAAAACACTCTCCGACATAAATCACAGCAGGATCCTCTATGACCCACATCCCAGAATTTTAGAAATAAAAGCAAAAATAAACAAATGGGACCTAATGAAACTTAAAAGCTTTTGCACAACAAAGGAAACTATAAGCAAGGTGAAAAGACAGCCCTCAGATTGGGAGAAAATAATAGCAAACGAAGCAACAGACAAAGGATTAATCTCAAAAATATACAAGCAACTCCTCCAGCTCAACTCCAGAAAAATAAATGACCCAATCAAAAAATGGGCCAAAGAACTGAACAGACATTTCTCCAAGGAAGACATACGGATGGCTAACAAACACATGAAAAGATGCTCCACATCACTCATTATCAGAGAAATGCAAATCAAAACCACAATGAGGTACCATTACACACCAGTCAGGATGGCTGCTATCCAAAAGTCTACAAGCAATAAATGCTGGAGAGGGTGTGGAGAAAAGGGAACCCTCTTACACTGTTGGTGGGAATGCAAATTAGTACAGCCACTATGGAAAACAGTGTGGAGATTTCTTAAAAAGCTGGAAATAGAACTGCCATATGACCCAGCAATCCCACTTCCGGGCATACACACCGAGGAAACCAGATCTGAAAGAGACACGTGTACCCCAATGTTCATCGCAGCACTGTTTATAATAGCCAGGACATGGAAGCAACCTAGATGCCCATCAGCAGACGAATGGATGAGGAAGCTGTGGTACATATACACCATGGAATATTACTCAGCCATTAAAAAGAATTCATTTGAATCAGTTCTAATGAGATGGATGAAACTGGAGCCCATTATACAGAGCGAAGTAAGCCAGAAAGATAAAGACCATTACAGTATACTAACACATATATATGGAATTTAGAAAGATGGTAACGATAACCCTATGTGCAAAACAGAAAAAGAGACTCCTATGTATAGAACAGACTTGTGGACTCTGGGAGAAGGCGAGGGTGGGATGTTTCAAGAGAACAGCATTGAAACACGTATATTATCTAGGGTGAAACAGATCACCAGCCCAGGTTGGGTGCATGAGACAAGTGCTCGGGCCTGGTGCACTGGGAAGACCCAGAGGGATTGGGTGGAGAGGGAGGTGGGAGGGGGGACCGGGATGGGGAATACATGTAAAAAAAAAAAAAAAAAAAGATACACTATGGTTGTGATAAAAATAAATAAATTAATTAATTAAAAAAAAAAAAAGAAAAAGAAATTTGTCCCAGTATATGCCCAGGAGTGGGATTGCTGGATTATAGGGCAACGGTATTTTTAGTTTTTTGAGGAACCTCTATACTATTTTCTTTAGTGGCTGCACCAATTTACATTCCTATGAACAGTGTAAGAGGATACCCTTTCATGTGCCTATTGGCCATCTGTATATACCGCATCTTCTTAAACCAATGGTTTGTTGGTGGACACTTGGTTGCTTCCATGAAACTAGCTATTGTAAATAGTGCTGTTGTGAACATTGGAGCTCCTGTATCTTTTCAAATTAGTGTTTTTATTATTCATTTTTTACATTTTTAAGATGAGTAATATATAATTAATGACCATAAAAATGAATGTCTAATAATAATATCTGAATTTTACTTTCTCACTCATATTTATTTTGACTTAACATTTTTTCTTTATTCTTACCTAATAAGTTGTTTTCTGAATGTTTCTATGATTTAATGAGTGTTTAATATTTTACAGGATTCAGAAACTGTTTTTGATACTGAGAATGACAGAAATAGAATACTTCCAAAATCTCAATCTGAATATGAGCCTGATATCCCTCAGTCAGGCCTAGAGTATAGTGGTATCCATGAACTTGAGGACAGAAGGTAAAGAATATATCCACAGCTTTACTTACATGTTCGGTCCCATACTTTTGCCTTATTTTTAATTGGCATTACTGTTTTCAGATCTCAACAAATGTTTCAATTCAATCTACAAGACTTCAGGTGTTGTGCTGTCTTGGGTAGAGGACATTTTGGAAAGGTAATCTTTTAAATTTTCTTTCTTTGTAGGCATTCTTAGAATGCCTACAAGTAATCATTCAAATGAGAAATAATTATTTTAATCTAATTTCAGGTGCTTTTGGCTGAATATAAACACACAAATGAAATGTTTGCTATAAAAGCCTTAAAGAAAGGAGACATTGTGGCACGAGATGAAGTAGACAGGTTAGTTTTTTAAAAATGAAATTGTTACACTTTTCTAAAGTTATAACTTAAGAAAATCGATGTATGCAGTATATATTGAAATGATAAAGTTTTCTCTTTTCATAATACAGTTGATCATTGAATAACATGATCTTCAACTACGTGGGTTCACTTAAATATGGATATTTTTCATTTAGTACAGGCTATAATATTACACAGTCTGTGGTTGGTGAATTCATAGATGTGGAGGAACTGCAGGTGCAAAGGGCTGACTATAGACTGTGCACGGTTAACCCCCATGCTGTTCAGGTGTCGACTGTAAGAAGTAAAGAAACCAAGTAAATTAATGCATGAGATGGGCATTGATTAAACATTGTTTTTCTTTCTAGCTAATTCCCTCTTCCCATTCTTATGACATTTTACTGCCTGGTGAATACCAAAAAAAGTTGATGAAATGTTTAAACTAATTCTAATAAGTTTTTATACTTGGAAATGTTGAAGTGTTTGTATGAATTAGGAACTATTACAGATCTGTGGTTGGGTGAGGCTATTTTGCATCTCATACTGCAGAAGTAATAAGATGTCATTTACAAGTAATCTTCAGTTAAGTGGTTAATTCATTCTGCTTTTTAAAATATACCTATATCTATTTTTTGCTCTATTTTTCTTAAAATGGTAGCTTTTGACCACAGCATCTTTCCTTTCTGTGTGTAAATTGGTATGGATTCATTTCTTCATATATGATTATTAAAATGTAAGGACTTTGGGGATAATATTGTAATTAGGTTAGAGAATATACTTTAAAAAGACTACCTCAAATTAATGAAGTGGGTCAACATGGAAATCGTTGTATAGTAAAATGGCATTTTATTACAGAAAGAGACATTTATTTGATATTTAGAATAACCAGGAAGCATCAGTTGATATTACTAGAAGACAGCCCAAATAAAACAGCCTGGGATTATGAGTGAAAAGATTCTCTAGGCCTGATTGTTCCTTCTTAATTAATGATTTGATTCCAGGGCAATTCACTGAACATCTTTGAGCCTCAGTTAACCCACATATTTTTAAAATACATTTTTTGGTAATACTTGCCTTACTGAATTGGATTATTGCCATATAATATATAAAATTGCTATTTTTAATATATTTCCATTGTATGGAACGTTCTTAGAATCAGTCTTAAAAGATGAGCATTTCCTTTATGTAAATCTTTTCCTTTTGGATTTGCCTCTTTATATTTTATCTGTTTCTCATACTCCTCAATTATATCAAAATAAACTCTTCCTTGATCTAAAACTACTCAGGATTTTGCATAATATTTATAAAATATTCTGAACACCATAGTATATACTAACATTTACATCAGTAGTTAAAGCAAACCTTTAATTACACTGTCAGTCTGTTTTTAATTACAGTAATAGTACAGTCAGATATTTTTCTTTTCTGGAAGAATATTTGCTTTATTCCAGATCCATATATGGTAAATTCATTTATAGCCTATAATAATAGTTAGTAATATGAAAGTGGTAATTAGTCGGTGGTTTATATAACTTTCTGCTACATTGTTACTGCTTTGAGCCACATCTCTGTAGGAAAAAAAACTTTCCAACTAAATATAGATAGAATAATGTTAATATTACTATTAAAAGAAGAATGTCTGGATCAGAGGATGAAACTTTAGCCAGATTCAGTGGACATGGGTTTGGGTGGGCTCCGGGAGTTGGTGATGGACAGGGCGGCCTGGTGTGCTGTGGTTCATGGGGTCGCAAAAAGTCAGACATGACTGAGCGACTGAACTGAACTGAGGACATTACCCCTACTTTAAGAGGTGACAAGAATACACAGAAGAGCTATACAAAAAAGATCATAATGACCCAGATAACCACAATAGTAGGTTCACTCACCTAGAGCCAGACATCCTGGAGTGCGAAGTCAAGTGTACCTTAGGAAGCATCACTATGAACAAAACCAGTGGAGGTGATGGAATTCCAGTTGAGCTATTTCAAATCCTAAAAGATGATGCTGTTAAAGTGCTGTACTTAATATGCCATCAAATTTGGAAAACTCGTTCAACAGTGGCCACAGGACTGGAATAGGTCAGTTTTCATTCCAGTCCCAAAGAAAGACAATGCCAAAGGATGTTCATATTACTACACAATTGTGCTCATGTCACACGCTAACAAAGTAATGCTCAAAATTCTCCAAGCTAGGCTTCAACAGTATTGAAACCGAGAAGTCGCAGATCATCAAGCTGGATTTACAAATGGCAAAGGAACAGAGATCAAATTACCAACATCCTTTGGATCATAATAAGCTAGGGCTTCCCTCATAGCTCAGTCGGCAAAGCATCCACCTGCAATGCAAGAGACCCTGGTTTGATTCCTGGGTCAGGAAGAGCCGCTGGAGAAGGGATAGGCTACCCACTCCAGTATTCTTCGGCTTCCCTTGTGGCTTAGCTGGTAAAGAATCTGCCTGCAGTGTGGGAGACCTGGGTTTGATCTCTGGGTTGGGAAGATCCCCTAGAGAAGGGAAAAGCTACACACTACAGGTTTCTGGCCTGGAGAATTCCATGGTCCATGGGGTCGCAGAGTCAGACATGACTGAGCAACTTTCACTTTACTTTTCATTGGATTATAGAAAAAAGCAAGGGAATTCCAGAAAAAAAATGTACTTCTGCTTCATTGACTACGCTAAAGCCTTTGACTGTGTTGATCACAACAAACTGGAAAATTCTTCAAGAGATGGAAATACCAGACCACCTTACCTGCCTCTCAGAAACCTGTATGCAGATCAAGAAGCAACAGTTAGAACTGGACATGGAACAACAGACTGGTTCCACATTGGAAAAGGAGTACATTGAGGCTGTATATTGTCACCCTGCTTATTTAACTTATATGTAGAATACATCATGTGAAATGCTGGGCTGGATGAAGCACAAGCTGGAGTCAAGATTGCTGGGAGAAATATCAATAACCTCAGATAAGAGGAACTAGAGAGCCTCTTGATAAATGTGAAAGAGGAGAGTGAAAAAAACTGGCTTAAAACTCAGCATTCAAAAAACGAAGATCATGGCATCTGGTCCCAAATGGCATTTGTCATTTCATGGCAAATAGATGGGGAAACAAGGGAAACAGTGAGAGACTTTATTTTCTTGGGCTCCTATCACTGCAGATGACAGCTGCAGCCGTGAAATTAAAAGACACTTGCCCCTTGGAAGAAAAGCTGTGACAAACCTAGACAGTATATTAAAAAGCAGAGCTATCACTTTGCCAACAAAGTTCTGCGTACTCAAAGCTATGATTTTTCCCGATAGTCATCTACAGATGTGAGAGTTGGGTCCTAAAGAAGGCTGAGTGCCAGAGAATTGATGCTTAATGGTTGTGTTGGAGAAGACTTTTGGTCTGCAAGAGTCCCTTGGACTGCAAGGAGATTGAACCGGTCAATCCTAAAGGAAATCAATCCTGAACATTCCTTGGAAGGACTGATGCTGAAGCTCCAATACTTTCTTCACCTGAAGTGAAGAGCCGACTCGTTAGGAAAGGGTGTAGTGCTGGGAAAGATTGAAGGTAGGAGAAGGGGACGACAGAGGATGAAATGGTTGGATGGCATCACTAACTCAATGGACTTGAGTTTGAGCAAGCTCTGGGAGATGGTGAAGGACAGGGAAGCCTGGTGTGCTGCTGTTCCATGGGGTCACAAATAGTCAGACACGACTGAGCAATTGAACAACAACAAAATTAATCTCAGTTCAGCCCCTCAGGCATGTCCGTCTCTTTGCGACCCCGTGGACTGCAGTACCCAAGGCTTTCCTGTCCATCACCTACTCCCGGACCTTATTCAGAATTAATCTAGCCTTAGTGAAAGGTTGATGAGTGATCTTCATTTTACTTCAGTTATAAATCCACTTATTCGGTAACATGGAAGTAAAATAATCTGAGGTAGAAACAGGGAAATGTAAAATTCAGAGTGAGAAATAAAACTTGCTCTTAGAGAAATTTGAGGAAAGCATAAAAAAGAAACAATTATAGGAGGGCAAGAAAAAAGTTAATTTAGAAAATAAGAAAATAGACCAGCATGCTTTTAAAAATAATGTAACTTGAATGTCTGAATAGTAAATAACTAAGGAAAATCCATTATATCCATATCTCAGTTCATTCTTTCAATAGATCCATAGAATTCAGTGTTATTGCATATAAGTACAGTTTTTTAAATAGATATTTCTGGAAAACTTGATGGTTCTTAATGTCAGTTTTATTTTCTAAATTTTATTTTTCTAGTATGAATCTTATTATTTTACTTACATCATGGAAAATTCCAAACCAGCTTATTTTTTGTTATTTGGTTTCTTTTTGTTTTCTGCTACTTTTATTGAGACAGAATTGAGCTGCAGTACTGTATAAGTTTAAGGTGTACAGCATCATTATTTGATTTATGTACATCGTGAAATGATTATCACAGTGTTAAGTGAGCATCATATAGATACAAAATTCAAAAAATAGAAAAATACATATTTTTCCTTGTTATGAGAACTCATGAATTATTCTCTTAACAACTTTCATATATAACATATAGCAATGTTAATTTTATTTATCATATTGTACATTATATCTCTAGTACTTACTTATCTTATAACTGGAAGTTTGAACATTTTTTACTGCCTTTACAGTAAAGGCACAGTGTGCACTAACTTCGAAGTAATGCAATTCATGTACGAAGGTCATGTTTTCCACCATTAGTAGAGCTTTCTGAGTGCCATCTTCCCCTACTCCTAAGAATGTTAAATGTGTGTTACAGTTATGCCTCCTCATTCAGCTTAGTTACTGTACCAGTTCAAATTTCCAAGCAACAGAACAGACTTGGAAGTACATTTTTGCAATTTCAGAATAAAAACATAGCTAGCCAGATTTTTTATATATATCATATATACATATATATGCTTTAATCCTAAGATTAGCCTTATTAGTGATGTGATTTTCCACTGACCAAAATAACTATTTATACAGTTTTTAAGTTTCTAACATATCTAATAATGTACTAAAGGAAGTATGCCAAAAAATGTTAGAATTGAACTAGTCACTTAGGGAGATAAACCATAAATACATTAGTTATGCAAACAAAAGAAATTAGATATGTTTGAGTTAAAGATAAACAACATAGACAGTCACAGTGCATAAAAGGGGAAACATGAAAGTGATAGTGCACTGGTGGATTTAGATGAGGCCTTGTAAAAAAGATCTGATTTGTGCTGGTCTTTGGCAGATGGAAGGTATTTGGGAACATGGAGAGGAGAAATGACAATTTAGGGAAAAATGTTTTGGACAAAATGAATAATGTTTGAAGTTTTTCATGGACTTTTAAGGAGAAATACGATTTAGATTAAATTGGGAAAAGTTAAACTCTTATGGAGCAACTTTTTGGTGTGATGTAGGACTTCCCTAGTGGTTCAGACAGTAAAGTGTCTGCCTACTATGCGGGAGACCTGGGTTCGAACGATCCCCTGGAGAAGGAAATGGCAACCCACTCCAGTACTCTTGCTTGGAAAATCCCATGGACAGAGGAGCCTGGTGGACTACAGTCCTTGGGATCGCAAAGAGTCGGACACGACTGAGCTACTTCAACTTCAACATGTTTAAAATTATTATTCTTATTTGGGTCTATAAAAGAGCTTTCCTCCTTTACCTAAGATATATATCCAATCCTCATCAATATTGTCAGTCCTCATCAAAGAATTCTGTGAATGGGATTAAAACCATTTTAAGGAGCACTCTTATCAGTCCTTTAGACCATTTATATGTTCAACACAAGTCTAACCTTATAGTCCATCCAACTGAGAATCAGTAATTCACCCATAGTGGATTAGTAATTTGTGCATGAATGATACACAGTGAAGAGGCCGTGTTTGTTGTCTTCTTGAGCCCAGAACATCTTGTCAGTTTGTTATTTCATGTGTATATTTTATCCTCATTAGCCACAATTTAGATAGACCTAGTAAATCACTTGTTTTAGAATCTAATTTGCAGATCTTGCCCAATTGTACATGATTTTCCAATAAATTTAAATGGTGATTAAGTCAGAGCTATTAACTTTTCTTTTTAATCATCTGTGAATTTATTTCTAATAGTGACTTAATTTGTAGTAGCATTTAGAAACCTTGCAAATGTATGTAGACATAAGCCAAACACTAGAAGCAATTATAATGGGGTTTCTGAGTATATATAAAATTATAAACAAATTGTATGAAATAGAGGGTAAGAGCTCATCTAGAATGTGACCATATTAGATGTACTATAAACACTATTTCATAGTAGCTATATTTACTGTATTTAAAACTGAAGAGGTGTTTCAGTTCATCATTCAGAATTCAACTATATTAACAGCAGTGAAAATTCCATGTTCCGTCTACACAGCAGTTATACTTTTAAATGTTTTAAAATTCTCTTTAATTTTCTTAAGTCATAGCAATATAGTCTGGATATCCAGACAAATGCTTTAATCTTTAAATTAACCTTTTTAAAATTAATTCTTAAGAGATCCCAAAGAAAGGAGAATGAGTCTACCTCCTTCTAACATTAGAATTTTGGTTTGGTATTTTGAAATCAACAACCACATACACACATAAACACAAAATCTAAACATTTCTTTAATTTTAAAATTATTCTTTTAAATAAAATTTTAAATTTTTTAAATAAAATTTTAAAATTATTAATGCTTTTCAACAAACTTTAATAGCAGTTTTTTTATTCTGGTCTCAAAAACAAACCAGAAAATGCCTATTTTATGTTAGAAACATAAAAATAAAATTAAATTTGTATATTTATTTTGATCAGTCCTTAAAACGTTAATTCAAAGTTATATTTGAATAATATTTGACCTGGTTTTTCTTCTGCTTTGAGGTTTTTTTTTTTCTTTCAGTTATATGTATATGTGTATCTATTTTTCAAATTCTTTTCCCATTTAGGCTGTTACATAGTATTGAATAGAGTTCCTTGTTGGTTATCTGCTTTAAATGTAGCAGTGTATATATGTCTGCTTTGAGTTTTAAGTCAGGTTGATTTACTAAATATTTTCAGGGGACAGAAGGTTGGTATTTCTTGCCATTTAGGCAAAATTAATGTTTCAGAGTCAGTAAGTTTGACCGCTGCTCTTTTAAACAGCTTATAAGAATCCTTACAGGGAAAACCTGTGATAGCTACATAGATTTTATAGATTGTATCATTTTCCAAGAGCTTCCTTGAAGCATGTTATAGAATTCTCCATGAAACTCCTTTATTTTCCATGTAGCCTTCTAAATTAAAATGTTACGCAGTTTATTTTTACCTCTCAGCTTCATATGATAGAATATTTGGATACCATAGCTTGTAAATTATAAATATACACTGTCCTTGAAATGACCTTGATCACAAAGTTTATATTTTAAAATTATGCTTTAGGTTGCTAAACCCTCTGACCAATTCCTGAAAAATTTTCACAATTCACTTCAAATTAGGACTCTTTTATGATTACCACTAGTCTTATGTGTGCTACTCTGGTACTGTCAATAGTGAATTTTATGTCACGGTAATCATATTTAGTTTTCATTAATATATTTCTATTAAAGTTATTTATATATCACATAGCCCAAATTTTCAAAGCATTTAGAGCAAAATGACATATTTTATGGTTTTAAAGTCATAATGATTAAGAGCTTCGCTTATTTTAGAGTTTAGTAATTTTTAAAGGATCTTATTTGCAACTAGAACTTTAAAAAAAAAATACCAGTGATATTTTCATGGTTTCTCTTACAGCCTGATGTGTGAAAAAAGAATTTTTGAAACTGTGAATAGTGTAAGGCATCCCTTTTTGGTGAACCTTTTTGCATGTTTCCAAACCAAAGAGCATGTTTGCTTTGTAATGGAATATGCTGCCGGTGGGGACCTAATGATGCACATTCACACTGATGTCTTTTCTGAACCAAGAGCTGTGTGAGTATTTAGACATTTCTCTGAGTTTCTTCATGACTGATTGCTTTCTGGGAAGGAAGAAAACTCTCTGAATTTTAGATTTATTTTTTTCCCTTAAATGGAAAATAGAGAAAGGAGTCTTAGAACTGTTTACTTGCCTTTTTGTCATATATAAATGTATCTATATTTCTCTGTTGTTCATGTTGAAAATTTCATGTATTACCCTAAGTCACACTTGATAAGTTAGATATACCATTTAGATTTGCTTTAGTAAAATTTTTTTTTTTCTAGTATATTTTATCCCTAAGGAATGCCATCTGGGACCATGGCTTTAAATATTAACTATACTCAAAGTACATTGTTAAGTGACAAAAAAAATGTAGAAGAGTTCTTATCATATATTTGTATGAAATATTTATATTTGCATTTTAAGGGGTAGTTTAAAATAGTGTGCCTTAAGTATTAAAATACTTAATGCATATCCTTAAAATATCTCTGAAAAAATATAAAAGAACTTGATATGCCTGTCACCTCCAATGAAAGGCATAGAATCCAGATTTATGATAATAAATAACTGAGTATACTGTTTAAAATTTATATTTCACTGAATACTTACTAGATGTCAGGTATTGTGTTAATTACTTTAACTTATCACCATAATCCTTTTTGTAGTTTTTGAGTGTGATATTATATGGAAGTTTTGCTTATTCAGATGCAAAAGAATAAATAATAACAAACACTTGTGACTAAACATAATGTGTATGTATTCTCCCCCTGTTGTTATCTCAGTTTTATAGCTCTTAAGTGTGGAGCTAGGGATTTGAACCTAGGAAAATTTACTGTTAATCGCTATACTCTATGTGCCAGTGTTTACCAAATTTATGTTTCCAGCCCTTACCTCGTTCCCTAACTTCCACCTCTGGTAACATTCAGCAGCCAACTTGACTTTTCCCTTTATGTAGCTGATAAGTATTTCAAGTACCTCAAAATGAACTCCTGATGTTTCCCATTTCCACCACTCCCTAGCCTGTTGCTCTTCTAGTCTTCTCTCTTATTAAACGGTAATACCATGTACCAGTTGTTCAGGCCAAAACACAAGGAGTCATTTTTGATTCTCTTTTTTTCCTTACCTGCAACATCTAAATTCTGCCTCCAAAACATAAAAATCATAAACCACTGATTAGTAAATCTTTGTTGTTGTTGTTTAATCACTTAAGTTGAGACTGACTCTTTTGTGACCTCATGGACTGTAAGCTGTCAAGCTCCTCTGTCTATGTGATTTCCGAGGCAAGAATACTGGAGTGGGTTGTCATTTCCTTCTCCAAGGTATTTTCCTGACCCAGGGATCGAACCTGCATCTCCTGAACTGGCAGGATTCTTTACCACAGGGAAGCTCAGTAAACCTTTATTGGGTTTATTATAAAATCTTTATCTCTTGTCTGTATTCTAACAATTGACATTTGTGTAATATTTTTACTTTCCTCCCTTTATTTGATTCTTACCATAACCATTAGAGGTAGAACAGATAGTAGTACTGTCATATTTTCAAATTTCAAATAAAGAAATAGGGCATTAGTTCTGGTGGATAGTGAAGCTTTCAATAAAGGAGGCAAAAGCCACAAAATAATAGGTGGCTATTAAAAATTTGTTCCCTGCGTATTTAAAAATTAAAAGCAGGCCATCTAGACTATGCCTAGCCCTGTACTAACTGCCATGGAAATTTTGTTTTTGTTTTGTTATGCTTTTTTTTGAGATAAATGTAAATTCCTATTTTGCATTAACACACTTTTTATTCTTTATGAGAGTACAGATTACATAGTACCAATGAAACAATTAACCCCAGTGAAATACAAGAATAAAATGCTACATTGCAATACTTTATATCTGCAGTACCTCCCTGTAATCATTCAGATCTCACCTGCAATGTCATTTCTTTGAAGGTCCTTTCTCAAGTACTTTATCTAAAATATCACTCTATCACTAATGTCTAAATCAGGCCATTCTATTCTGTTTTATATTTTATGTTCTCCATACCACTTTATTTATATCTGAAATTATCTTATTCTTTATATTTTTATTGTCTGTTTCCACTCACTAAAGGGGCACAATGATGACTATGTCTATTCTGTGCACTAGTGGAACATCTCAAGGGGAGGCGTAGCTCACATATACTAGGCAAACATATTCTTATTGCTTGAGACAGTGGAATTAAAATTAGTCCTAGCCTTGCTGTGTTCTAGCTATGTGATTTTAAATTAGAGCTTCATTTTCTGCTCTGTGAAATATTTATCTTAAAGGTTTAATTTGAAGATACTCCCTGTACTCAGTTATTTACTAAGTATCATTAGGACAACCTATTTACAAATAAACAAAAGGGAAATCAAGGTATTTGTATAATTGTCAGTTTTGTTTTGCCACAAAAAATAAGTTTGCTTCAAAAAAAAAAAAAGCTACCTTAAGCAAGTTTAGAATCACATTGTTTTAATGGACTTCACTTCTGATAATTATTTAAGATCTAATGTATAATAATATTTATTAATAGTTGAATTTTAAAATTCTCAAAATTATGACTCCATCTTTGTAAAAATAAGTAAACACTAAACATAATTGTATTATCTATATGTACACATAAATGCATTCTAGAAGTTAGAAGAACAATCACCAAACTAATAAAGCAGTTATCTCTGTGGATAGTAGTGGCGTTAGGATGAGATGGAGATATATGAATGAAAAACTGTGCTTTGGGGTAGGGGTGTTGTGTGTTTTTTATAGAGGAAATATCCTTGTATTATTTGTAAAATTAAGATTCTCTTAAGTGTCTCCTTGTAGGCTATTCTACACTGAAGACAGCCTGCATTTTTAAATTCATTCATTTATGAGTGGCTTACCTCCTTATTCATTAAGGCTGTTGTGTATCAAGCATTTTGCTCAGCGTTTATGCTGAATTCTGAAAAAGACAAACATGGTCCAATCCCTCAAGAGTTAATATTCTAGCTTGGCTGAAGTTTTCCTAAGGTCGAAACCTATTTAGCCAATTTCCAGACGTCTTCACCTGTCCCAAGGCAATTTGAGGTCAATATCTAAACACAAACTCACTTTCCCCACAAAACTTGGGCTACTTCTGTATTTCTTCACCTCTTCATTATAATAAAAAGGAAACCTTGAGAATCATCTTCAGCTTTTCCTTCTCCCTCATCCTTTATATTAATAGCTAATGAGACACTAAGTCCTGTTGTGCTCATTTTAAAGTTTCTCTTGAATCCATCTCTTAGTCTCTTTGTGGTCACTACATTAGAGGTTCTAATGATCTTTCATCCGTACTATCATTTTAGCCTTATCTGTTCCTTATCCCTCTGGATGGATGTCTACCTACTTGCACTCCAGCCTTCACACTACTGTCAAGAAATTTCTCTCTAACATAAATCTGATCATTCTTCTCTCGTTAATATGGTTTGATTCAGTATTGCTAAAAGAAGAATTTTCAGTACAGGCATACCTCAGAGATATTGCAAGTTCAGTTCCAGACCACTGCAATAAAACAAATATCATAATAAAGTGAGTCATGTGAATTTTCTGGTTTCCCAGTGCATTTAAGTTACATTTACACTATACTGTAGTCTATTAAGTGTATGATAGCATTGTCTTTTTAAAAAATGTACATACTTTAATTAAATACTTTGCTAAAAAATGCTATCATCTGAGCCTTTGCAATAGTAATGTCAGAGATCACAGATCACATAACAAACATAATGGTGATGAAAAAGTTTGAAATATTGAGAGAATTACTAAAATGTGACACAGAGACTTGAAGTGAGCAAATGCTGTTGGAAAAATGGCACCCATTGTGTTTCCATTCAGGGTTGCCACAAATCTTCAAATTGTTTAAAAAAAAAAACAGTTGTCTGTGAAATACAGTAAAAGTGAAAATGCAGTAAAACAAGGTATGCCTTTGTTCATAATATGACAATCAGGGTCTTTTGCAACTAAATCTCAGGCTATCTTCTCAGCCTCATCTTCCACTACTTCTTCCCTCATCATTTACTTCACCCACAAACTTGTTATTGGTTGTCAAACATTCTATGCCTTGTACACTGCTATTCCTTTCCCTCTTAGGGAAATGCCCTATATTTCTCCCACAAAAGTTCTACCTTTCATAACATCCTTCTGCCTTTATAATGGCATATTGTAATTTTTTCTAAAGAACCAGATAAAATATCTAAGGACTTAAGTGACTCCCCACACAGATGAAGTTAATGGCTTCCATTTTAGAGACTGTATTTTTCTTATTTTTAAAATACTTGGCACATATCTTACATGTCTGGCACATAGTAAGGACTCAATAAATATTTGTGAAATTAGTTAACTAGAGTTCTGCTTCAAAGCATAAAAGTATAAACTCTGGGATTCAAAACAGTGGGATTTATTAAAATTCTTTTGATTTAATTCTTGAAACAGATTTTATGCTGCCTGTGTAGTTCTTGGGTTGCAGTATTTACATGAACACAAAATCGTTTATAGGTAAGTAAAATTTTGATACTTTTCTAATTGCTTATTGATATGAAGTAGAATTAAAGATGATTAAGAATAGTTTGTATTTAACCATCTTCATAATTTTCTCTTTCATATGGTAAGTGACCACTAAAAAAGTTAAAACCCAATTTTAAAAGACATAGTTAACACAATAATTATATGATGAACTTCTTTGTTACGTCCTCTGACCGTTACCTAATTAGAATAGTCAGATTGTAAGCTGGCCTATGATAATACAATTTACCAACAATATTCATCCTAGTGAATATTTATGTTCAGTTGATCCACTATAGAAAATTTCTATAAGCTACTTCTACTGAAAAGTTGTTCATGATAAGTAGCTTGTGCCATTTTGCTTCCTTCATTAAGCCTTGCTTAATGAAGTGTACTTGAGGACATAGCTGATTAGCTGGTTTATGTACTGGCACAAACTCCTTACCAAATTGTAGACCAGTTAGAAATAGTTCATAGTCCAGCAAGTCGTCTGTGAGTAACACTTTGAATAGCATTGCTCTAGATCAGACAAATTGTAGGAAGGCCAGTCGGAATTAAAAGACTATAAACATGAGTTTATTCAAACTTCTAACAATGTTTTCAAGGTAATGGTTTCCTCATGACCTTATTTTACTCAAAAGAATAAAATATTTTCAAGTTAATTTGTAGTCATTTAGTATGACTTAATAACTTCCTCTTTATTTTGAATTATTCTCTTAGAATGTTAAGCCTGCTTGTTTATACCTTACTTATGCTGTTCATTTGACAGTTCTTTCTTATGGATGGTATGTAGGGAATTCAAACAAGTCCGGGAGTTCCCTGGTGATCTGGTGGTTTGGATTCAGTGTTTTCACTACTGTAGACCAAGTTCAGTCCCTCATACGGGAACTGAGATTTTGCATGCCACGTGGCATAGCCATTAACTTATTTATTTATTAAGCTTGAATATTATGAAAGTATAGGTATCATGAAAGATACATGAACTCTTTCTAAGCTTTAAAATATATATTTAAATAGATAAAACATTTCTCTTAGATACATTCTTTTTTACATAATGGGGGAATATTCAGAAATTATATTTTGTAAAGTAATAATCTTGCCAAAAAAAGAAAATGAATATTTATAATATAGTATTTATAGTAAATCTCAAACCATAATATGAAAAAACTCATTTTTTAGTAAAGAGAAAGTATAACTCGTATTAAAATGATGTTTCTACTTTATTATCTACTGATTTTATTGATTTTTTTTGTTTGTTTTTTTTATCCTGAACAGAGATTTGAAATTGGATAACTTATTGCTAGATACAGAGGGCTTTGTGAAAATTGCTGATTTTGGTCTTTGCAAAGAAGGTAATTGGATATTTTAAAGTGCCTTTTCTAATAAATTACTATTGCTTTGTGCTTTGGAAGTTTTCAAGTTTGTCTATGGAAAACAAAATGTATTTTTTAATTTATTAAAAGTTAAACTTTATTGAGATGTTACAGATTGTTCATATAACCTAATCTATAACATTATTAAGAATTTATTCTGTGAACATAAATAAGATTAGGTTTTCAGAAATCACAGTATGGAAAATAAGACTCTCTTTGTATGGTTAATAATTTTGTCACTACTCTAAGAAAGCATTGGTCAGTCACCAGATTTTTGGCTTTGCTGGGATTGTGCTGAGTAAATTTAAATTACATATGCCTAAAAACCTCTCCTGCCTCTTAAAACTTTTAACATTTTAAATAGGAAAAAATGCATATGCCTCAAGAATCTTTTATGTGTGTGTGTGTATGTGTGTACACAGAGGTAAATAAATATCTAAACTGGGAAAATTTGAATCATATATAGCATAAGAAAGTGTAAAAAGCATGGGCTTAGGCACCACCCTTGAATCCTGACTCTGCCACTTATTTGCTCTGTGTCTTTGGACAAGTTACTTCTAACCTCGTGGAGTCTGTCTTCTCAGCTGTAAAATAAATGTAATTCTTCTTGTTTAGGAGTATTATGACAACTAGAAATAGTGCCACAGTTTGTGGCACTGTGCCTAATATAGTAAATAGGTACATTTAATATATTGTATTGTAGGAAACATTGTGTCCCTCTCTACCCTGGTACTTCTTGTTTCTTATTCAGCTTTCTTTCCACCATATACTATAGTGCTCAGCACATCTTAAGTATTTAGTGAATATTTAATTAATAAGTAGTTGAATAGATGAATGAATGAATTTTGTAAAGCTTTGTCCATTATTTACCCACTGACCTCCTAATTATTGAGTCCAGTGAAAGGTTTTTTTTTTTTCTCTTTTTTTTAAATTTTTTATTTTCCATTTATTTTTATTAGTTGGAGGCTAATTACTTTACATCATTGCAGTGGTTTTTGTCATACATTGAAATGAATTAGCCATGGATTGGACATGTATCGGACACTGTTGACTGAAATGGTTTTGCTCCTCAGTGTCTGGCCTTAGCCCATTGCTATTCTTAGGTAGTTTTTAGCTAGCAAAATTATATACTAATGATTCCCAAATCTATCATTTCCTTTCCAAACATATATAGTCAACTATCTACTAGACAGTTTTACTTGAACAGTCAGTCAGTAGGTACCTGAATCATTATCCAAACAGAAATAGTTCTTTTCCTCAGTCTCATTTGCAGTTGATGGCGCCATAATCCTCCCAGTCTCCCAATCTGAAAATGTGAAATTGTTCTGGACTGTCTCCTCTTCATTACTTTCCACATCCAGTTAATCACCAAATTGTATTGATATCTACCTCCTTGATGTTTGGTTTTTTTTCAAACAATACTTAAGTTTTTCATCGCCCCTCTACTCCCCTCTCCCTTTCTACTCCCCTCTATTTCCAACCACCATCTTGTTTTAACAAGGCTACTTTAACAACCTCTTAACTTTTCTGTCTCTATTCTTTTTCTTCCTCAAATCTCAACCTGCCATATAATTGCTAAAATACAAAAGAGGCCCATCTAAACTCAAAGCTGAACATGGTACGTCCCTACTGAAAATCTTCAGTGGCAAAGACGTGATATATATTGCCCCACCTAATCTGCCAGCCTCCTTCTCCAGCCAGATCTCTCGCAGCTTTCTTCTTAGTACCTTCTGTTCCAGCAAAACCAAACTGCTTACAGTCTTTGTTTTTCCACCACTATCACTTATCTCAATCTATTTGCTCACATCTGTTCATCCTTTATGCTTCTCAGGTATCACCTGTGCATATAAGTTACCTGAGACTCATCTCCTCCTGTCCCAAGTACCAAGTCAGCTTTCTAAGATGATGTGATCATCATAAGATGAGCTTTTAACACTGTAGAATACGTTCAGACATTTTCTTCAATAAGTAGGATTTTATTTGACTAATTTATTACTATATTTTGAGGAACATATTTGGGCTTCCCTTGTAGCTCAGTCGGTAAAGAATCTGCCTGCAATGCAGGAGACCCAGGTTCAATTCATGGGTCAGGAAGATACCCTGGAGAAGGAAATGGCATCCCACTCTAGTATTCTTGCCTGGAGAATCCCATGGACAGAAGAGCCTGGCAGGCTACAATCCATGGGACCACAAGAGTCAGACACGATTTAGTGACTAAATATGAAGAATGTATTTAGAAAACCAGCTAGCTAAAATGTTAATACTGTATCTCTATATAATATGATACACTCATTCAACTCTTGATTATCCAAGGATTTGCTTTTGGTAGTTTTCAGACTATACTCAATGCTATTTTTATAATAAAGCAAGTAAGTATATTTTAAAAATTTAGTTGACAGGGTAGAAATTAAAGTTTAGAATAAGTTTGTTTTTTTTTTCTTTTATAACTTCTTAACAGCACTAATAAAGTAATGACAAGAAAGAAAAAAAAAGTGGTAAAATGAAACATGGAAATTTTATTTATTTTTATCCATTAATTAAATAATAGAGTTGCTTTTGCACAGTTTACTCCATATTAATTCTTAGCATTTTCTTTAAAATCTTTTTCATGGGCTACCCTAGTGGTCTAGTGACCAGGACTCTGAGCTGTCAGTACAGGGGATCTGGATTTGATTCCTGGTCAGCGAGCTAGATCCCACATTCCACAGCTAAAAGATCCTGCATGCTGCAACTAAAGATTATATATGCTACAGCTAGGATCTGGTAAAGCCAAAAATAATAAATATAAAAAAAAGACTCTTTGATGTATTTTGAGTTTGATCACCATGCACAAATGTACACCTTTAATTTTGCTTCCTAACGGTATCTTCTGACTCTTATGCTAGATTTTTTCTTTGCTAACAAATATTTGAATTTTATCTTTTTCAGGAATGGGATATGGAGACAGAACAAGCACATTTTGTGGCACTCCTGAATTTCTTGCCCCAGAAGTGTTAACAGAAACATCCTATACAAGGGCTGTAGATTGGTGGGGCCTTGGTGTCCTTATATATGAAATGCTCGTTGGTGAGGTAAGTAGTATAAGATAGATAAAAGGGAAAGATGATTGAAAGAACAAAGCATGTCATTTATAGAACTACTTAATATGTTTCCTGCATAAGTAGAACTTAAGCTTTATAAATACTTATATGTATTAGTAATGCTTATGATCCTATATTACCTTCACTGTCTTTTTTAGGTTTTTATATTTGCGGAATGTATACCAGTGTTTTGAAACAGTTTAATTTAGTGTTGCTATGGGCTTCCCAGGTGGCGCTAGTGGTAAAGAACCTGCCCGCTTGTGCAGGTAGATGTTAGAAATTAGGTTCAGTCCCTGGATCGGGAAGATACCCTGGAGAAGGGCAAGGTAACCCACTCCAGTATTCTTACCTGGAGAATCCCATGGACAAAGGAGCCTGGTGGGCTCCAGTCCATGGGATCACAGAGCATAGGATGCAACTGAAGTGCTCTAGCACACTCGCATGGTTATATTTTATGATTTTTAAACATAGTCATACATAGCTGATCATTTCATAGGAAATAGAAAGCAGGAAGACTGATAAGAGGAATGTAGTCTGTATCTATAAAGAAATGTCAGCTATACATTAGTTGGAAATAAATGTTACTTTCAGAAGCAATATAGCAGAATTGAAAAGATTAACATTTTTTTCCTACTATTTTCTTTATATTAACTTAAATTTCTGGGGATAAGTTAGTTTTACACAGAAATTGTTACCACTTAGAAAACAGTAAATTATATTTAATTAATAATACAGTAAGAAGTAGTTACTATTTTGTTATAAGTTGTTGAAAATGATGAATTAGGGTGGAATTAAGAAAGAGTAAATATTTAGACAAGTAATTGAAAACTACTTAGATGGGCTTGATGGTCTTGAAAGAAAAATTTTCTTAGGGAATTGGTTCCTTGTTCTGCAGTTTTTCCAATGCCAGTGACCAACCCTGTACATTCTAAGCATGAAAAAACTAGTAGCTGAATGAATGAATGGCTAAATTGTTGAATGTCAGAAATTTCTAGTTTTGCTCTGTGATTGTCATTTAGTGTCACATATCCAAACAAGTAAATGAATGATTTTAGTTCATCTACTGACAGTGCCTTTTGATATGTAAATTGGAATGGAACCTTGGGAAAGATTGAAAAGAAATAGTGAATTAAAGTATATACTATGTGCTAGGTTAGGCACTGTTCTATGTGCTTTATAAGTATTAGCTCACTTAATTTTTCATCAACCTTTAATGATCTCAATACTAGTCTTATGTTTATTTCCAGATGCATAATTAGAGACACAAAGAAGTTAGTAACTTTAAAGTTATACAGCTCTCATATAGTGGAGTTTGGATTTTAACTTAATCTCTAAACCACTGTACTTTGCTGCCCCCAAGATAGGGCATCCACACAAATTTATTTCACCTCTGTTTAGAAAAGAGAAAAGCATACAGTGCTTTAAGGCAGAAAGATATATTTTACACCTTATTCACAGTTTTCTTTACTTTCTACAAATGCCAGAAGTACTATAATAGTGGTTTCTATAAGCTCTGACATACTTAAACTTTTTTTAAGTAACATTTTTGTTGCTTTTTAAAAAAAATTAGGGTTCAATTATGTATGAGATTTGTTACCAAAAATTAGGTGCTTGCTTAAAATTTACTCTTCATATTGGAGATGACATGCAAAAGATGAGAGTCTACTATCAAATACTATAGAATTAAGAGCCAATTAATTTTACTCCCCCTGATTCTAAAGTATCTGGGAGATTTGGCAGTGAACAGTGAGGACGTTCCTGTTTCATATTGTTTAAAGGAACTTCTCATTGATTAAGCTCTTACTAGAAGATAAAAGACAGTGAATCTGGCTATTTCTTCACAATTGCCTTTTGCAATTTTATTTCTTTTTAGCACCTCCATAAAAGGAGAATTGGGAAAAGAAACTTAAAACTCATTGGTACATATATTTTGTAATTTTATTGCACTGGTGAAATCTTAGCATTACCTTTTCTTAAATTTATAAAAGTGAGGTTTGGCTAAAGTTTATATCTAATTCCTCTATTGTTACAAATGATTGAAAACTCAGTGGATATATCATGTTTTCAAATTTGTATGAGTTGTGAGGACTTGAATCAACCCTAGGAATAAACTAACATATCAGGTCCCCTTTCTCTGTGCCAAAGAAGAGTGGAAGATACCAGTGAAGTTTAAAATAACCTTAGATATTAGAATTAGATCCTTGACATCTGATCAGACTATTGAATTCTTTTAATGTGTGCTTAAAATAGATTTGTTAACCTTCCATTGTTAGTACTGTTAGCTTATAATCTATTTCAGAAAAAAAACTTTTAACAGTTTAACAAGTATGTAAATATATTTTCACTATTCAAAGACTTGTGGAGTGATAGTTTTCAAACACAAAATTGACTTATCAGATAGGAGTCAAAATTGCTTCGTATTACCATTTGAAATTCTCATTGAGAATCCTTTTGAAATAGGATTTCCCCCTGACTTACTGTCTCAATCCCAGAAATTATATTATCCTATATAACAGGTATTCCATTTATGTATTTTGAGTGAGTAAATAAACAAACCTGATTTTGATACAGCAAGCCTGATAAAACCAAGTTTTATCAAACCAGAACTGAAATTTTGATAACTGAAGAGTTTGAAATTTTCTTAGATACAAGCAATAAGGTGAGCAGTTCAGCTTTAGTAGGTTGGTTCTGAAATGATTTTCGTGGGTTCCTCAGGTCAGAGGTCCCTCTCCTGTTGATACTGCTTTCTGCTTGGCTCTTGTTCTTTAAAGATTAACAGGAAGTAAGCAGCCAAATCTAAGGTGTCTGAAATTCTGAGGTAATAAGTCATATTTCATAGCAATATTTTCAGTGTAGTTGAGAGTTTATCACTATGTACATCAAATTGTTATACTGAATATTTAACTACTTTTTTTATTATTCAGTGTAATTACTGTCACTATGAGCAGCCATCTTAACATTCTTCTGCTGAAATGCCTCAAGACCTGTTGTGTATAGAGCATTAAATATGCCTGGAAATAATGTGTTTTTTGGCTCCTTTCAGTTTAATTTTGTTTACAGTTGCTTCTTAGTACAGGCAAATTGTCTCTAATTGTGTTTTGCCGTTATTAATTTGCTATTGACTGTGGAATTCGGAACACATTCATGTCTGATGAATCTCCACAAACTGTGCTTCCCTCTGTAGTAACACTTCACCTTACGCATTTCCTTCTGTCTTTCCACAAGATTTCAATAAGCGTATATGGTGTGTCCTCTGGATAATAGATACGTATCTATTGTGTGTCTGTTGTAGCTTCTTGTAGTCCTTATTTGTTTTGGTGGAGGGTTTTTGTTTGATTTTGTTTTTCCTTTTTCTTTTTCTTATTTTCCTCACTGCATGGTTCTTTGTTGTATTTCAGAACTATGAGTAGATAAGATTTTACTGTATTGAACTCATTTTGACTAACTCAGGGGTATTTCTCCTAGTCTCCCTTTCCTGGTGATGATGAAGAGGAAGTATTTGACAGTATTGTAAATGATGAAGTAAGGTATCCAAGGTTCTTATCTACAGAAGCCATTTCAATAATGAGAAGGGTAAGAATTTTGTTGTAATATATATGTTTTATTTATAAAATAAATAGGATACTCAAATACTTTGGCCACCTGATGTAAAGAACTGACTCATTGGAAAAGACCCTAATGCTGAGAAAGATTGAAGGCAGGAGGAGAAGGGGACAACAGAGGATAAGAGGTTGGATGGCATCACCAACTCAATGGACATGAGTTTGAACAAGTTCAGGGAGTTGGTAATAGACAGCAAAGCCTAGTGGTATTGGACAGGGAAGTCCATGGGGTTTCAAAGAGTCAGACACTACTGAGCGACTGAACTGACTGATATTAAGAATATTTCCCAGTAGCATTTTAGAAGTTGTTTTTCAGTCATAGATGTTCATGGTTTAGACAAACACATACCAAAAGAAACTCTAAAAGGTTGCAAGTTATGAGAATCCTTCTCAGTGAATCTCTGGTTTTATATTTACTTTCTTCCTTTATATTGTGTTAGTTATTAAGAAGAAATCCTGAGCGACGCCTTGGAGCTGGTGAAAAAGATGCAGAGGATGTGAAAAAACACCCGTTTTTCCGAGTAAGTGTGAAAGTTTAAAAATTTTTTGATACTCTAGCAGTTAGAAGTAGGAAACTAAACCGGTCATTTTATATTTTGTAATCCAGCTAATTGATTGGAGCGCTCTGATGGACAAAAAAGTTAAGCCGCCATTTGTACCTACAATTAGAGGACGGGAAGATGTTAGTAATTTTGATGATGAATTTACCTCAGAAGCACCTATTCTGACTCCACCTCGAGAACCAAGGATACTTTCAGAAGAGGAGCAAGAAATGTTCAGAGATTTTGACTACATTGCTGATTGGTGTTAAGTTCCTACACACTGTGAAACCAAGCAGACTGACTCACAAGAAGACCTCTTAAAAATAGCCCTTCATTTGCTCTCTGTGCCAACAAAAGCTTCTGAGTTTTTTTTTTAAACATATGAAGATGTGTTTAAAAGTACTATTCTAATACCTTCTTGAAAAGTGGCTTTTCAGTATATTTTAAACAAAATTCTGAACACTGGAAACAGTTTCATGGAGTTTAAGCTGAATGAACATCAGTCATGAAAATCTATCACAAATGAATACTTTTGGATCAACAGTCTTATTTCTTAAAATCAGAGGGGAAAAAAACACTCTTCTACAGTCCCTAGCTTTGCTGTATGCCTGCCTTAAATGGAAGGAAAATTAATTAGTTAATTTTCCTTAGGTGTGTTTTACAAAAAGAGGAAAAGAGGGCCTAGGATGTTATTACTATTCACACATAATATGATTCTGTTTGAATAAGGCAAATGCTCTTATTTTTTTAAAGAAATTACTGTAATATCCAAAAAAATGTAGTAATAGTTTATACACATTTTGGGGCTTTTTTAAAATGAAATGAATTGATGTCTTGTATTATACATTTTCTATATTTATTAGAAAATTTTTATTGCCTTATCTTTACCAACCATGTAACAGAGCCTCATAGCTTTCCAGCTGAGCTATTTGCCAAACAATCTTATTAAATCAACCATGCTGAAACAAACAGGAACAACTAAACATCTGCATTTACTTAAAATTTTAAGAATGAGGACTTAATGATCATCCTGAACCAAGATACTGTTACCTGTATGCATTCCCAAAGTCTAGATGCTTAGTACATTCAGTCATACTTTCTTCCAGAATCAGTGAACTGATTGCTCCTTTTTTTGATATGCATTGTACATTTATCAACCTAGTTCATCTTGTTCTTGTGTCTACTGTAGAAGGGAACTATATCTTTGTTAAAACATATGGATTATCATTGTATACATGCTGTGAACATGTATATGTGCAAGTTGTAATGTATTCTATGTTGTAGGTTTATTATTTAATTTCACCACTTCATCACTTTTGTACAGTGGCCAAGCAGACACCTCAGACTCCAGCATTTACATTAAGTGCATTTGTACATTTTAGGCCACTGGATCCAGATTTTATATTGGCAGTTACTGAGGGCAGAAGCAATATATTATAACAGAATGTATAAATATTTTTGATAAAACAGTCTATATTTTATAAAAATTATTATAACACTAAAGCTGTACCTCAAAAGTTTCAAAAATAATTTGATCAAATACTTTGTACAAGGATCCATTTGTGGCTTTTTAATGCCCTTATAGGAAAGTCTTTTTGCAAGCCATGACTTTTCTACTTGCCTGGAGTTTTGGGTTTTTTTCTTTGTTTTGTTTCAATTATTTTCCCTCCTAGTCCATGACTTTATTGTTTTTCCTTAGTTCAATAATAACATCTTTGATTCCATGCTTAGCATGTTAGGGTCATCATACCTCAGAAATAGCAAGTTGTTAACTAACCAATAATGAATTAACCATTTAATCACTATTGTCTTATGTCTTAAAAAAATGCTGAAGTTTAAATCCTATGAGAAAATGAAATCCTGTTGATTTATAGAGGTTTTTTGAGCTTAAAACATACATGAGTATTCCGCCTTGCCAGGGTATGTTGGCATGTCTTTGCTATGCTCTGAGAACAGTTAAAATTGTTCAGAGATAATTTCTATTTCCTTATAAATTGATTACAAACCATGTTCCCTTGGGGGAAAATCTTAAAGGAAAAGGGAGCAATATGTTGTTTTAAAATTATTTTAAAATGCCAGTTCACTTCCTTGGTAAAGGACAGTAGAGGATCTTGGCTAAACTGTCTGCTTTTAATTTAAACAGTGTTAATACAACGTTAAAAAAACACTAAATACTTTTGAGGTACAGTCTGCTCACCTTTTCTGGTTCTCAAATATGCATAGAAAGCAATGTCTAAAATAGGTTTTTAGCATTAAAAACTGACATAGCATTTTGTAACTACACAGTGTACAGAATTTTTTTTTTAATTAAAGTCAATCACTAAAAAAATTAGAGGGCAGGGTATATTCACACAATTAAGCTGAAGAAAGCACTAATTTTTTTTTCTGTAGTTTTAAAAATATATATATTTTAGTCAGATTTAAAATTTTTAAACTCTATAGAGTGTAAATATATTTTGTTATTACTGTATGTGTAAGTGACTGCTCAAGCACTTTGTAAGGAAATTAGGATATTTTAGAATGGTACACTATGCATTCAAATGAAATGTGCCTTTATGTCATTTTAAGAAAAAGTGTTTTGCAGTCATAAATTACCACAAATGCACAAATTAAAGTTTAAATAGATTGTAATTTGTAACTTTGTTTTTAAGTATTATTTCCTTTTGGAAACTTACTATTGGTCAAAATATGTATTAGCTTTACTATATTCAAGATCTTGAAGACAAGTTAACTTTAGTTAATCTTCTTGCAGGTACTTTTAGTCCTGGGGAAGGGCAAAATCATTAAGACTCAAACCAAATTTTCTACTTCACTGGTAATACTGGGAAAATTTTGCATTTTTTTCCTGTAAGTTTAGTAGCATCTTTCATTCAGTGTTTACTTATGCAATGCCTTCTGTGTACTAGACACTAAGGATAGAAAAGTACAAAAAGAAAGCACCAAAGTCTTCATAAATGACGAATGGTATACATCAGTGCTAAAATGTATTGTATGTACTTTTGTTTGGGATTAATTTATTTAATTTTAGGACATGACTTTTTGAAAATAGGTAAATGAAAACAGATTACTAGCCATTTTGTAGTCATCGTATTAAAAAATTATGAATGGAATATTTTAGAAATGTAAAAATGATCCGTGCTATCTCTGTGACACAAATTTAAGGTCATAATGTAAATCACCATTATATGTTGACTAAATGAAAGCTGCATTACAGATTGAAGTCTAACAGGAGTTTTACAAGTGCTGCTAATCTTTCCAAAGCACTGAGGGGTGAGTATGAGAAACCCAAGAGAACAAATGCCAACCCATGGATCATATTTTTAATTCAGAATTCTTATTTACCTTCTAGCTATTTTTTGATATCTAGTGTTTCTCTGATACAAGCTTCATATGTATATACAAATATATCTATGTGTATTTATAAACATATGTATATAAATATATACATATATAAATAGAGGTAAGTTTTTAAAGTATCTCCTAAGTGTCAAAAATCTTGCATGATTTCTACTTCTAGTATCATGACTAAGTAGAAGCTCTGAGACATCCAAAAGGACACATATTTTGAGTCATTGCTAGTCTCATTAAAGATAAAAGTGGTCTCTGTCAATTCCTCACTCCAAAGTAGTCAAAAAACTTTTGAGCATGAATCTGGACACACTAGGGCTTCAGCATCTAAGAGTTAGGGAGTATCCAAGCACAAGAGTGAGAATACTCAGAGATGGGGAGATTAGTCCAGAGAAGTTGGAAGTTGGAGAGGATAAGAGCCAGGATGGCAGGTAGCTGACTTTGGAAATGCAGGCACTCAGAATAAATAGAGTAGCCAAGGATGAATTTCTGTAGCACCACCATTATGGGGTTAACAAACTTTGGAATTGCAATAGAACTTACATTCTGTGCTAAAATTCTCTAGAGGAGCTCAAGTTCTATTTTACGTATCACTGTTCGTCTACTAGTAGAATCAGATATTTTCTGAATGAAAACTTCTCCGGGATGGAAATGTATAGGATTTTCACAAATTAAAATCAAGCAATACACTATCACAGATCACTAAATAGATGAGTGAGAGCAAGTTATCTTTAATGAAGCAAATAAAAAAAGCAAATATAGACATCCCCTTCAAAAGATTGCAAATATTAGGATCCTTAGATGCAGAATATAACTATATAAAAATGTTTATATGCCTAAAATTTGCCAGCATAAGTATGTGAAATGATATTTGAAAGAAATTAACATTTTGAAAAATTTTTAAATATATATATAATTGACCAAGCTTAAAACTCAGTGGAAGCATTACAGCAGATGAGACAGGTGAAAAAAGAACTTAGTAAGTCAAATAAAGTGATGAGAAAATGAAAAATATGAAAGGAGGTTTAAGAGGTATGGAAGATGGAAGGGAGACTCAGAAGAAATGGAAGAGAGGCAGTATGTAAAGAGATAACGGCTGCGAATTTCCCAGAGATGAAAAATATTTAAGTACCACCATATTCTCCATGCAGAAACATAAATTTATGCATAGAATCATTGTTGTGAAGCTGCAAACCACAAAGACAGCATCTTGAAAATGCGCAGGGGGAAGGACTAATAAAAAGGGCTCAGACAGTAGTCTGAGCTCAGTAGTCTGATGGCTCAGACAGTAGTCTGCCTGCAGTAACAGGAGACCTGGGTTCCATCCCCAGGTCAGGAAGATCCTCTGGAGAAGGAAATGGCTCCCACCCCAGTATTCTTGCCTGGACAATTCCATCATTATAGTGAAACTGCAGACCGCAAAGACAACATTTTGAAAATACCAGGGAGAAAGGACTAATTATCTGTGAAGGAAAGATGACAGTTAACTTTTCAATAGCAACAATAGAAGCAGTGGAATATTAATTTCAGAGCATTGAAAAATGAAATGTCAACCTGGAATTGTGTAGAAAGTAAACTTATTTTTTTAAGAATCAGAGCAATTTAAAATATTTTTTAAAAGAGGGTTTGGATCAAGAGTCGTACTCAAAAGGAAGAAAGAAAATGAGCCCAAAATGATGATCTAAGATACAAAAAAAGGCTTGTAAGCAAATAAAATGGTAAACAAGGAAATCTAAATAAACCAAGTCCACACATAGAAGCCTTTTTTCCCCTAGGTTAAGTCAACAGAAACCTGGATAATAAATGTAAGAAAATGGAGAGAAGATCAGAGCTCTAAAGTATTCTATTATGTTGTTGGGGTGTCAAGGTATTGATTAACTTTAGTTAAATGTATAATCATAAAAGAAAGAATATAGTGTAT